AGTGTGCATGTACAGCATGCGCACCTCGTGCACGAGCCTACAACTGAAGCTGCCGTTACGCTTTTGGCCCGAGGGGGCAATCGCCAGCATAAAAATTCAAAACTCCGCAAAGTCCCTTTAATTTTTTAAACCCCACCACTGGTCTCCGGAGCCCAGTGCGACCTCCAAGTCCCGGTACCGACTGATGTGGGCTACAGAAGTCTGTCTTTTCGGCTGTATAAAACACCCTCAGGCACGGAGATAGAGGAGTTTCTCTTATCTGGAAACCTGCGGACTTGATGTCCAGACAGGCTAGAGTTGGTACAACTTTCACAAACTATTGTTTATCAAAGTAAACATAATCCAAAATTAGAAAACACACACACTGACTCGATAACATGACCTCTCTACCCTAAAACTACCTGTCACGAACGTGTCGGTGAGTGGAGCGGAGGTGCGGATCCGAATGCTGGGGAAGCAGGCAGTTAAAACGACCAGGGGCCTCATTTATCAAGCTTGCTTACGCACAAAACAGGGTCGGAAAACTGCGTAAGCAACTTTCCTTGCAAACTTTGGGATTTTTGAAAGAAAACTTAGCGGAAAAATGTGCGCAACTTTAAGTTGACTAAGGACCTTGCTTTTGCACATTTTGGACATGGAGAGCACCTGCAGTGCTGCTGCTGAGAAGGGTAAAATTATGAAATTCTGCAGCATTATCACTTGTACTGCTTTGTGCTCACACAGAACAAGACCCCCCACACGCATTTACACACACACACACACACACACACACACACACACACACACACACACACACACACACAGCCTGAAGCGCATAATACGGAATGCAGAATATCAGCAGGGGGACAGATTGAGACCAAATGTCATGCGTCTGTGACTGTGTGTGTCCTGTTGCTGTGACCCAATTGATGATGCGCCCTGGCTACTTGGACAAGGGAGATCTTGGTTTGGGTGACTGGTTAGCGTGCGTGACTTTCACCTGGGAGTCTGGGAATCAAATCCCGATTGGACCAAATGTTTTTAATATCCGCCACAGATCTCTCTGAAGAATTCACAACATTGACGGCTTCAGCAACGCTGTGCCACTCCGTGGATTTTCTCTTATTTGTTTTGCAAAAGCACTTCCTTTCATTTCTCCACCTCACCCACAAGTACCTCAACTTCTGCTTCTGTGAAATAGCGCTTCCTTGATCTACCTTGATCTACGGTCGCCATGTCATTGGCAGAGCGCTGAAACAGCCGGCTTATGTATATGCATGAGAGCCACAAGGCACTGTGCAATGACTATTCATTGCAGTAAGTGGGCATGGTGAGGGGGGATGTGACTAAAATGCAGCTGAGAAACATTCTCGTTAGTCTCTGATTTATGAAGCGGAGATTGCGTGCAGCTGTGCGTACTCCATGTTTGATAGATCACAAACGTACGTGGCATAAGTACATTTTATTTGCTGAGCTTAAGTACGGTTTTAGTAAGGATTCTACGCAATGTTTGATAAATGAGACCCCAGAACATTCGAAAGGTTTTAATGAGACACGCAGGACAATGAAACATTGAACCGACAGGACAAAAAGGACTGACAGGGTTTAAATACATGAGGGCTGGGAGCTTGGAAAACGAGAGGCAGGTGGGAGTAATCAGGAGACACAGGACTGAACAGAGTGGGGAGACAGGTCAGGGTGTGACACTACCCACTCTCCACACTGAGCTGAGGCAGCCTAGCTTATAACTCCCTTTAGTTTGGAGCCGTTTTAGAAGCTCTGCTGGGAAAGGCCACTTTTTACCAGAAAAACTCTGCTGTTATGTATTTTAAAACGAAATATCCATAATAAGCTTTTCAAATAGTATTTTTGGACAGCATTTGATGTGAATTAGAAAAAAACATTTTACCTGCTATTTGCTCTTTAAATCTACCAAAGACATGTTAAAGTTATTAAAAAGTATTGACTGAGGCATAAAGTAAAACCAATGTTTACTTAGTTTAGCAGCTAGGATCAGCTCCACCTGTTGGTAATTATGTTTAAATTCCGGCTTTATGTGCTAAGAGGTTTATTTAACTTTTATGCTGAGTTTATGATCAGCTAGTCGAATGTTTTTGTTACGTTTTTGTTTTTTAATAAATAAATAGACGTCTAGATTCAGGATCCCAGAAGAAAGCTGGACTTGACCAACTTTTCTCAGAATTTTCTGCTTGAGGAGGAACAACCACTCTGTAACTTTAATTATAAAATAATCAAGGTCAAAGTGAAATTACGAAATGTAAGTCAGTTGTAAGAGATTGTTAGTCTGACCTGGAGCAGAATAAATCTCCATGGAAACCAATTTAGCTGTTTTTGTGGAAAACGAACCAAAAAATGTTTCCTCTCTAGATTTAGTGAAACAGGGTAGCCTGCAGTTGCATGTTTCAGACGGGGAGGGCAGCATTTTAGATTGAGCCTCAGATGATCATTAGATGCAAAAACACTCAATATGCAGTTAATTTTATTCATACAAGACCTGCAATCAAGGACTAGTGTGTAATATCTAAAGACATGTCTTACAAATGTTATTTTTTTAAATCCTGAGTCAAGTAAAACTCAGGTGTTGCAGAAGTCGTGGTTCTAATTTTACTTTAGATCGTCCCTTTTGGGGACATTATTGCCAGCTGCCACTAGATGTTACAGAAGAGCCACGTTTAACTTTTTATTGATATTTCTCCACTTGCAGCTCTTTACACCCTGCTTGTAAATGCATGAACACCTCTCATCCGTCTGAGCTGGTTTCTGTGAGGAAAATGCACCACCTCGTGTGTCATTAATGATTTCCTCCAACCGGATGTGTAAAAGGGTAATCTGAGGAGGGCATCAGATCCAGGTCCAAGAGGCGTTCTGGATCTGTGTATGTCGCACATCAGAATGAGAATCTTAGTTTTTTTGCATTCTAGTAAAGTCTTCCTATAGTGTTTCATTTGCATGCTGTGCTCTTGAAATTGAATCCATTTGTTTGCAACCATCATTGTGTGGATGTTTCCAGTTTAGAGCCAGCTCCATCACTCTTTCATGGTGTCAGATATCAGCCTGCAGCTTTCGGCCTCTGTGCAACACGCTGGCACACCCAACACGGCACACATCAGAGATGTCCAGGAGAAATGAGCTGTGAGACAGCTGGATTTAAAGTTTTCTAATCAGACGTGTTGAAAACTGGGCTGACATGGACTGTAGTTCTGCAGAAGTTCATGCTTCCAGAGAAAAGGAAGTGAGATGAGAAATGCAAAAGGAAAGTGCTCAGATTAGTCCCGAGTGGAGAAAAAAATATCCCCGTTCCTCTAAAATTAGGATTGCATGCATCAGGCTTTGTGGGAAAACTCAACCAAAATGTGTTCTCTTATGTTTTATTGGTTTCTGTTCAGCTGTCACAGGAGGAGGGTGTGATTCAGACAAGTGGATAAAGATCTGAGCCGTGAACTGGAAATAATCCAATAAATGTAGAGTTTGGATGCAAATTGAAAACCAAACTTTAAAATGAAGATACACCTCTCGTAATCAGTAGTTAGTGGAGTTCCACTTCGTTTAGAACACAAATCCTCCGAGTTTACACTGACTTTTAGTGAGAGAGCTTAACCTCAGCCGCAAGAGTGGGCACAGCTCTCACCATCTTCAGAGACTCGACTTTACCAGCTGAAATGACTCGTGGAGACTCTAAAACTGCAGAAACATCAGTGGACAAGTATAAAAACTCCTAAAATTATTAGATTTTTTAAAACTTCTACATGTGAAGAAATAACGTTTCATACTTGTTTTAGCAGTTTAAAATCTATTCTACTTTAATTTGAACAACAAAGGCTCTAATGTGGCTTTCAGGAGCACACTTGTTCATTCAGAAGGTGTGAATCCTCATTTTGAAAACAAGAACTTTTAAAAATGACGAGTTATTTTTTTGTTTTTTTTTTTAGTTGCATTGTTAATAAAAAGAAAATGCTTGAGAACCATGCATCGAAACCTAAACAGGAAATGTGCACTTGTGTGTTAAAACTCTGGCAGTGCTGAAGTCTCTCTGCAGCATCCTGCAGCTACGTTCTGCTCCCCAAAATAAATTCAGTCTGAACCATCGCTGCTGCCCTGACAGTCACCCCTGCTGCTTATTTAACAACATATTTTACATCCAGTGTGTGCACTAGGTGCAGACTGTGTGCAAAAAGCTTTAAAAACAAATGTGAATTAGAAATGTCACCCTAACCATTTACTGAAGGACAAACTAACAGAAGACCTGGAAATCAGCTGTCCTGTCCAGCAGGATGCCGCCCTGTTCTTCTGACTCACATCTGCAGGACTTGTTTGGTTCTGCAGACATAAACTAGTAAAAGCAGGCAGATGTTATCATTTATACATCTTTTTGATGCAGCAAAGTTCATTTTGTGACAGACATCATAGTAGCTGCAGTGACTCAGCAACTGCAGAGGAACTCTGCTCAGCAACAGCTGCAGGAAATGACAAGACAAATGTTTACTAAATTGAAATAATACATATTCTTGCATTAAGCCAAAGCCTAAACTTCTGATCTATTGATGCTTGGTAAAATTACAAAATACAGATACAATCCAGAACAAAATTGCAAAGTCATCCTGACTACATAACGACTTTCTACTCCTGCAGCATGTAGAGCTTTCCCTCAGCAGATCAGAAAGCGTTCTTTAGATTTTTAATATTCAGACTGTTAATCAGAAGCAGCCAATTTGAAATACTAAAACAAAACTATTGCAGACATCTTTCAGCTGTTCAGTGATGTATCTGGGGAGCTGGAAGCACATCGGATCAACAGCTGAAGAGAAAGTTAAACCATGGCATGTTCAGTTAAACCTCATTTGTTGAGAATTGTAAATGTTTTTTCAACTGGTTCCAACACTTTTTATACAAGGATATCTAGTTTTATAAATGACAGGTTTAAGGGTGCTGTTTTATCTCTTTATGTCATTAATAATATTATTAGTTTGGGGGGGCAAAATTACCTAAATAAGGTCCTGAGCGAAAGTATAGGTGTGTGTGTGTGTGTGTGTGTGTGTGTGTGTGTGTGTGTGTGTGTGTGTGTGTGTGTGTGTGTGTGTGTGTGTGTGTGTGTGTGTGTGTGTGTGAGAGAGTGAGAAAACGCTGGTTTATCTTTGGAGACTGTTGCCATGGTGACCTGTATTGGAGATGTCCATGTGGAATACCACCTCCATCTTTTCCTGACTTTCTCCTCCTGTCTTCTGTTTAGTTTTCCATCAGCGGTGTTGAACAAAGCTCTCTGACCCCTAAAAAAAGTAGTATAACATGGATGTAGAAAACCTCAAAACTACAAGTTACTATAATCATTTTGCAAGGGAAAAGTACAAAAAAATGGCACAATTTGTTGAGTTTGTAGATTTGTTTCTTTTTACCGTAATTTTTTTCTTTTTATTTCTTAACTAAATTTTCTTAAAGGGGCATTATGGAAGTTTGACAGCCAAAACATGTATAGAAATAATACATTCTCCTGCAATGCCCTGGTCCTGTAGAGTGAGCCCTGGCATTTTTATTGTGATTGCCTGTTTTTCTGTAAAATCACAGAAAAAGAAAGCTGCTCGGGTCGAGCAGGCTGCTTCATGCACGTTCACGCTCAGGCATAGCCCTCCAAACCGTTCTTTGAACGTTGTTTCAGTTATCATTAGGAATATAAATGTTACAAATATGAAGGACGTCGTTGGCGCTTTAGCTCGCCTAGATAGACGTCGGACTTACTTGCAGAGAATCCGGGTTCGATTCTGGATGCGAACATAGTTTAGAGTTTCTTTTGCACATTAATGGTACATTTTTTACAGTAAGATGCCCACATTTTTATTTGAGACTCGCCGAACGGCATTCAATTCACAGATAAAAAAGATGTGGGTTCAACTTTAATTTTGGAACAATTTTTCAAGCAAGGGAAGGGAATGATCTGAGCATGCAGGAGGACTGACCCATCTTAAACCTTTGTCGGCTGTGCTGAAGAGAAAGGTACAGAACCAAATTATTTAATAAATTAGCTGCGCGTTCTCCTGTCCTCCGGGCCACACACACACACAAGGGACTGTCTCAGCTGTTATTTTCGTTAAGGAGTGTGCACGTACAGCATGCGCGCCTCGTGCACGAGCCTACAATTGAAGCTGCCGTTACGCTTTTGGCCTGAAGGGGGCAATCGCGAGCATAAAAATTCAAAACTCTGTAAAGTCCCTTTAAAGCTTTACTTAGGCTCAGTTTTGAAATAATCCACACTGATTATTATTTGCTAATAGTGTATCGCTCAAAGGAAAAGCTCTAAATCAGCAGATTTTAGTGCATCAGTGAGGGTTTGTGTTTCTGATGAGAATTTGAGGGATTTATCAGCTGAGAAGAGTTTGCCTTCCTTCGTCTCATCTTCTAGAAAGTGAAGCTCTTCAGTCCCATGAGAGGGCTTGTCATCTGAGAGGAGGTGGAAGCATTTAATAGGAGATGGACGACTGGAAAATCTAATTTGTTCTGCCAGAATCTTTAATCAGTCGACAGGTGCAGGAAACGGGCTGTTCAGGTTATTCCAGGCAAAGTTTTTACAAGGCTTCAAGTGAAGACAGGAGCCACAGCGCTGCGTTTAGAGCAGCTGTGGGTGAATCCTGCTGCCACGGGGTCAGGGTTTTCTCTCAAGAGGACAGGAAACAGCCAACAAAGACGTGTCCCCTCCTCCTCCCGTCCTCTCGACTCAGCTGCCCTGAGAGAGGAAGTGGATAGCGGGAGAGAGGCTGATGTCTGACAGCCAGGCCGATGGAGTTAAACGTCAGAGCTGCTGACATGAGTCTGTCTCCAGATTGTCAAAACAAGACCTTCGCTCTCAGGGACGACATGTCAGCAAAGAAGCAACGCAGAGGGAGGCGGCGGCTACACATCCTGTAAGAGATTACTTCAACGTACTCTTATGCCGGCATGAAAGAGTGAAAGTTTGCAGGTTTAAACTGCTCTGGTTTCAGGAACTTTTACTGAATTCTACTTTTTCTGTCGTAGTTTAGCTGTTTTTCAGAACTCTGGTCATCCAATTGAATTATTTAAACAACAAAACTCAGGAAAGTGGAAATGAAGTTGCTAGTGAGAGAAGCCGTGCAGAAACTATTAATGAGGGTTGTTGATGCATGTCCGTTTCCACTCTAGAGGCTCGTTCTAACGTAAAAAAGATTAAGCTTGTCCTTTTCCATCAAAGCAACACTTTGAGAGTTTTAAAGTTGACGTTAACGGTCACTTCAGATAAAATATTTACATTTGAGACTCATTTATGACTTCTAATATTATTCATTATTATATTTCCATAATACACTCATTAAAAATCTGACCAACACCTCGTGAGCCCTTAAAGTTTTAAAGTATGATAGTTTTAGTGAAACATGAGTAAGTAACGTCTTACCTGCTGCAGATGGCTTTGGAACAACCTCAGTTAGGTGAAACAGGGATTAGCTGTGACTCTAACTTTCAACAAAATGATAAAATAAAACTTATTTTATCTTTTCGTCACTAATTCTGAAGTGATGTTTAATTATCTCATTCACTGCCATTGTCGATTAAAGTCATCAATTGCATTTTAAAGTCTGCGCTTCTTGAGAGTAAACATCACGGTTCATCTTCACCCGTGTGTGTCACACGTCACATGATCATGATGCAGACAATCCATGAATTAGGAGATTGTTTTGGGACGTTGCTACGCCTAAAGTGAGGTGCAAACCGGAAAAACTTCTGCAGCTCACACTTCGACAACGGATTATGAAAGAACGGAAAATGCTAGAAACGAGTGGATTCTTCCTGTTGTAAGAAGTGAGTCTCTTTCTTTTGGTAGTTTTGATGTTTACTTGGTCATAGAGCACAATGTTCTGTGACTCTTCAAATAACCGTAAAATTGTGTAAAAACACTGGCAGTCATTGAGGTACAGAAGAGTTCATACAGATGAGGGATTATTCTGGTAACACTTTGCAATAAGGTTCCCTTTATTAACATTACTTAAGCTTTAATAAACAAGGGATCTTTATTAAAGTTCCCAACATTATTAAATATTAAGTATCCTTAAAGTTTGGAAAACAGGCCAGGGGGGTCTGCTTAGTAATGCATTACTTAATATTAACACTAATATCAAGCAGTTGTTAATACTTTATTTATTCATGCTTAATAATGCACTAAATAGTGTTAATTAAGAGACCCTTACTGTAAAGAGGTACCGTCATTCCTATAACTGTTTCAGAGGGATGTGGTGACTGAAAAGTGTTGTCTCATTTCCTGAAACACAAATGCATCATTCTACAGTGTTGGTCACTTCTTCATCTGGAGATTTATTAAAAAACAGAATTTGTTTTGACTTCCTTTTTGTTAAAACTGGATCGAACCTGCGTGTGACTCACACGGTTCAGAAGATATTATCTGTTTCATTTTAGTTTGGCTCTTTTAAAAGTGTCCCAGTCGCATGACAGGACAGTGTTTGGGTTTCACTTATTTTGTGTGTGTGTGTCATAGATTTAGTTGGCCAAACATTTGAATGGTTTCTAAAGTATTTATCTCTAAACGAATACAAATCTGGGAGCACTCACCTGTAAGGGGGGGGGGGGGGAGTCGTCTGCAGGTGTCTACATAGGACATCCTCTAGAGACCATCTGAAATGGGTGGGCGTGGCCAAATGGGCAACCATGACAGGTCAGCTGGGTTGGTCATGCTTAGGGAAAAACGGCTAATTAAGAGACCTGGTGACACTTTGAGGAAGACAATCGATAGACCATCAAAACAATGTCAAGGTAAGAATAATAATCTTCTCATGTAGCCTTTAAAATTGCTGGTGCTTCCTTTTTCCTCTTCTTAAAGCTTCCATTTGATAAAATAATTTATTATCTTTACAGTTTTAATGATGTCTTTGGGAGCTAAAACTCACAGCAGCTGCTTTACAGGAACAGAAAAGAGTTTTCCTCTGCTGATTAATCCTCTACGCTTTAACCTTTTGGCTCTCACTACCACACTTTGATGACAATTAGAAAATTTAATCCTTGCTATTCGCCCCAAGCTGATAGAATTTAAACCTCAACTTTGACTGTTCAAAAAAGGTTAAAGCCTTTATTTTTCTGCTGTTGTCACTTTCGGCCTCAACCATTTAGCTCAAACGTATTCTGCCTTTGAGTGGATTAGTTTTTAAACAACAGACTGTTAAAATGTATTTAATTCAAAACAAATAAACTGCTAATAATAAAACAACAATTTATTCTTTGTTCCAAAGATGATTCTGTTTAGGACCCTGAGTTTTCTAGAGTTCAACTTTAAAAGCTCCGCCTCCACATGCTCTGTGTGCTGGTCTTTGTTTAAGCCTGGAGCTGGAGCCAGTCCCTCTAATGGGATCCACTAAATAATGAGAGCTGCTGAACTGCATTCATCCTGGTTCCCAGAGCTCCCAGAAACCTTTTTTATTGTCCATCTGCTCTGGAACGAGTAAGTTCCAGACTGACGGTGCTGACAGTCAGGGGCGGCTTAAAGGAGACAAAGAAAACTGCTCCTTTCCTCACAGGCTGCCGGGGCTCCTGTTTGCTCCTGAATGACACGCCGGGCCTCGGATAAAGAGACTGACTCCACAGTATAACACATTTGTTCTGCAGAGATGAGGTGTGCACCGTGACGGGTGCAGCTATCTCTGCTGTTTCAAACGCACTGCTGGACTGCTCCGCTGCTTTCAGGCATAGAAGTTACTTTATATTTGTCATGGTAAACGCTGCTCGACTTGTGAGCTCAGACTGAATTCTGATTGGCCGAGGGACTCGGAGTGGAGAGAGGCTGAGGTTCATCAGGAGGAGATGAGGTAATGTCGACTTCTTTTAATGTAAGGAGGTGACATCATCGTTGTGGCATCCTGCGTTGCCATGGAGAAGGAGGCGTGTAGGGGGGTATTCATAAAGCATGGGCACAAGGGGGGACCATTGTGTCTCTGTTCATTTGTAAAAGCCTGTTTAGTCAAACATCAGATAAAACCATCTTCTGAGGCTGATTAATTTGGTAGATAATTACACACACCTGTCTCAGGTATATTTATACGTCAGATGGTCGGGACATTCGGGAAACATCAGGGCTGGAAATTTGGCACCAAGACAGAAAACCCAGACAGTTCGTCTCATCTGACTGAGGTGGGAGACGGGGGTCTCCCTAGATAGTCTGCCATTTCCTGAGCTCAGCTTTCACTTTCTGTGTGTGTGTGTGTGTGTGGGGGGGGGGGGGGGGGGGTAATTAGAGCCTTGTGTCATTGGGTTAAAACCCCAAATCCATATTTGTTATTTAACAACTTATTATTACTTAATTATGTTTTATTTTATTTTAGATTTTACATCAAAAACATATTTTAATTCAATAGAGAATTGAATATTATATTAAAGAAAATATAAAATAGCCTATAAATGAAAAGTATTCCAGTCTTTCACTTCATGATCTATGTTCTGTTTGACTCACTGATGATGTTCAGGACATTTAATTTTCCCTTTAGCAGTTCAGCTGAACACCTCCCCACACACACACACACACACACACACACACACACACACACACACACACACACAGAGTTAACCACCTTAATGTTGAGTGAATTATAATTTATTATCTATAATGAAGTTTAGCCTAAACAGGCATTTATTTAATCATTTTTCATGCAAATGTGTTTATTAAAGATAAACTCATATCTCTCTCTTCTGCTGTTTTTATGTGAAAATGAGGCTAATGCTAGCTCACTTCCTGTCTCTGTTCAGATCGTGTTTCTGGTCAATCAAGACAAAATACTTAAATGTTGTTCTTCCACATCATTGTTTGGATTTGGTTATTCTATAAAATGCTCAGATTTCAGCTTGTAGCTCTGCAGCGGACGTCTCCGCCTCGGCTCACTGGAGCATTTGAAATCCTTGCAATAAACAAAATCTGGTTTTAAAGGCTGGCGCCATGTTTAGATTGTTGTAGACTCTAAATTTTAGCAAATTCAGACTTACTAACTATAATAATATAATTATGTGTTGGTCTATTCATCATTATAATGATCTCTAGGTCTTTAATGGTTTTGGCCAACATCAGGCTCAAATCATTTGACATCAGATTTTTTTCCCTGTTTTTAATGGACGGCTGAGCAGATCTGTAAATTGTTTTATTGATTGCATCTGCTTACAGCACTTCTGCTGTCTTTGCAGAGAAACGAAAATCCTCTTCAGCTTCAGGGAGATGATGGAGTCTTTAATAATAAATGAAGAGAAATGCGTCTGTGTGAAAATGTGTCTGTGGATGTGTGTTTTAGGTTTGGGTGGTTCCTCGTAAATCTTTCAGCCTTGGATCAGTTTGACTGAGCAGCAATCCAAACTACACACCTCTAATAGGACAATGTGTTTCTTTTTGACCTTCCGGTTTCCTGTAGTTGCCTAATTTTTCTCGGCTTTCAGCCACCTGTGGTTAAATTCACACACGCAAATTCAAGCACACACACACACACACACACACACACACGATAAAACACTGATCAGGTGATGACGGGCAGCAGTGGGCGTGTGTCAGAGATTTGTTCTGGTTTGTTTTTGTTGCTGAGGTGTTTATTTCAACCCAAGAAAAGTCAAATTAGAGATCAGAAAAAATAGCAGAAGTGACATGTTGAAGCTCCAAACACTCATAACCTGCATGGTGCTGAAAATGAGGCTAAGAGGACCACTAACTTTTTTCAGTTTGACATGCAGCTGTTATTGCTGATTATATTAATTACTCTTTTTTTCTTAAGGGTAGATGGAGCTGTGATCTTTTTTCTTATTTAGGTGAAAAGCTAGATATGGTCAGGTTTTGGTGCAAATTAAAATGCACCAGAAATGTCTTCAAAGCAAATTATTAAGAAAGAAAAACTTTCATAAATGTTTATTCACA